TATGTATATGTATATGTATATGTATATGTATATGTATATGTATATGTATATATATAGTATTTTCCCACGTCATTATAGTTGTGCTTTTAAACGTTTCAGCAGAATCTCATCTGCCATCAGTGTGTGTGTGTGTGTGTGTCTGTGTCTGTGTGTCTGTGTCTGTGTCTGTGTGTCTGTGTGTCTGTGTCTATGTGTGTGTCTGTGTGTGTGTGTGTCTGTGTGTGTTTGTGTTGCTTCATTGTCTTCATATCAAATGTTAATTGCAAACTGGTAATGTATCAGCCTTATAAACTACACCATGATTTTCTGCTTACAGAAAATACTTCAAATTAATCACTTAATAACAGTAATTAGGACCAGCATTTTTGTAGCTAAGTGATGCAGTTGTAAGGGCAGCAATTCCAGCAGTCAACATTGCTGTTTTTAAGTGAGGATCATGGATTGTTAAGTGAGGACCTCCTTGCAATTTTCTGCTGACTTCCAACAAGCAAAGTCTATGGGGAAGTTGGCAGGCAGTTATAAGTCCAGCAGACCAGAAGATGAGGAAATGCACCAGACAAGGACAGCCAGCAGGATGTGCACAGCCGAAAGCGGGAAGAGGGTGCTGCAGGCAGCAAAGCACATTGAAGTATGAGATACCTGGCATCTTGTATCTGTAGGCAGGCTTCTCAGGGAAAAAAAGATGGTAGGAATGGGAATGACTTAAAGGATTGGCTTATGACTTCTCTTGCTGACTTCCATGTTGAGTTTGCTTGTGAGAAGACATCAGGGAAAGTTGGAGATCACATGACCATGGGTCCCTGGAACTGTCATAAGTGTGAACCAATTGCCAAGTGCCCAAATCATGATCACATGACCACAGGGATGCTGAAACAGCTGAACTTTGAGAATCGGTGGTCAGTAAACTTGTTCAGAGCCATTGTCATTTCAAACCACCATTAACCAAGGACTACCTGTAATTCCATAGCCCAGAATAAATTCAACCAGAAGGATGACAAGTCAAGTAATGCTACGCCCCACCAAATGAAATACAATGTTTATATTCTCAAGTTTGTCTTTCCATTTGGTTTGAAAAGCAAAAGCTAGGTTGCATTTAGAAGAACAAATATACACCTAATTATATTCTTTAACATGAGCATCTCTAAATTAAAACTGTCTCATTCAGAAAGCAAGTACTGCTCGCATAGAAGAACTATAGAAATTCAGATTCATTAATTCAGAGATACTCATATGCTTCAATGCATGCAACATTTTTCATTACATGAGGGTATTGCTACCAAATAGTTTATGTTATGAACTGTGATGATGTTGAACACTAATTGAACAATTCCTGGATTTAGTCATCCATCTTGCCATCAGGTCATCAAGAGCAAGAAAGATCCTGGCATCTTTATTTGAAAGGATAACAGATACTGGCATTAGAGTTCCAGTCAGGAACATGGAAAGTTGCTGCTAATTTCAACAGTTGTGAGATATTAAGGGGAAGCGGGGGTGGGATTGGAAGAGCCAACATAAACAATCAGAAAATCAGTTGGCAACCTGCAACCACTATCTAGAAACCTGAATCTTTCACTTCTTCCATCCCATCCTTAGCTACTCAATTTCCAAAACATTAGAAATTTTGATCCTCTAGATCAGGGATGTCAAACTCAATTTCATTGAGGGCCACATCAGAGCTGTGGTTGACCTCAGGCGGGCAGACATGGCTGAGTGGGTGTGGTCAACTAGGTGGGTGTGGCCAACTGCATAGGTGTGGCTAGTTTGATGCCACTCTCCGAACAGCTGGCGGGTTTCCTCTCCGCATTGGGTAAACTGGGCTGAAACCGGGCTGGCCTGATCTTTCATCTTTGCATTGGGTAGACCAGGCCAAAGCTATGCTGGCCCGATATTTCCTCTTTGCATTGGGTAGACTATGACAGACCCTCAGGCCGGATCCAACCACATTGTGGGCTGGATCCATTCCCCTTTGCTAAACTGGGCATAGGCATGGCCAGCGTGTGATGCATCCAGCCTGTGGGCTAGGAGTTTGACAGCCCTGCTGTAGACAATGTGAGACTATAGCAGAAATAGTATCCATATGTCTAGACTGGGTCAAGAAAACATAATTCTTTGCTCTTTTCTACATTGTTCATTAATATGTTTCACTTTTCTAAGACCGAAGCTATAACCCTGCTTTGACTGTCTTTTATTTAGCAATTTCTAGTTCCCTCACATGCAGATGGATGCTTAGGACTGTGTTTCTTGTTATCATGCCTATTGTCAAGGCAAATCTGTTGTGGCCAAACAGATTGAACCCCTTCCATCTTAGGCTGGAACTTGGGATAAAATCTTATGGGATTTTATTACTCATCTGTCTGACTTAATGGTGATTGATCTGTTTACCAAAATGCATCACTTTACTACCAGTATGGGACTATGCTCTGCACGAGAAACTGTCAAGCTCTTTTTAATCAGTTTCCTTCATTATAGATATCTGATCAATCATATGATCATTGAACCCAATTTACATCCCTTTTCTGGAAATCTTTCTTCCAGTTTTTTCATATGCAAATTACTTTCAAGGATCATTTCTATAGTATCCAACTGGAAAAATGCACTCAAACATTGAAGGCTTTCAAGAAGAGATTGGACTGCCATCTGTCAGAAATGGTGTAGAGTCTCCTGTATGGGATGGGGATTGAACTGGATGACCTACGAGGTCTCTTCCAACTCTGTTAATCTAATCTAAAATTCATTTATCATCCACCAATCCCCTGAAGACAAATAGGGAGATAGAGATAAGCAACACAACCCTTTACCAAGACTTACACTGCTGTGTCTTGTATCAACAGGTCAAATGGCTGGAATTTGCTTATAACAACCCTTTGCATGCCACAACTTATCCAGAGGGTTTATAGCTGTAATCTGTATCATTAATCTTCCAGTGTCTCAGATAAGAATACATCCACCTTCCTAGAGGAACAGCAAGCAGCACAACTCCTTCTCAAGGAACAACTGGACCTTTCCACAGTGGCTCATAAATATATGACAGATGACCATAGACAGGAGTGTTTAAGTATTGCTGTGTGGCTTCAGTTACGATTTTGCCATCTTCCTGCCCTTCAAGGAAGTTAGATTCCAAATTTATCAGCCCCTTCTCTTTATCCACACCAATTAGCGGTCACCTTTTGTTTACAAGTGCCAACTTCAGTGAAGATCCATCTGGCCTTCCATTGAATTCTACTCTTTATTAACTACTGTTTATTAAGAACATATTGCTCTGCAGCCCCACCCTCATTCTTCCCCTTTTTTTCCTGGCAGGAAGAATATAAAGTAGAGTGTATTTTAAATTTTAAACAATGGTGGGGCGATTTCGAATGGAATGGAAACCCTTGAAACTGTCTTCATCTGGTCAATGGTTATTGATTCAGACTGAAATACAGTCCTTGTTCTTGTCTCCACTTCCATCTTAAGTCTTCTTCCTTAGACTAAAACACTGCTGTACAAAAGTCAGGCAACTATGCCTGCTTCCCAGTGGAATTTAGCTTGAAAAGTCATCTAACTTCTCTCTCTGGACATGAAGGGGAGTTATCAGAATTTTCTTTTCCATTCCATGGTGAGTGGGGTGGAAAGCAAGAAAAGGGAGTTGTGTAAGAGTTTCTAGACAAGCCAGGACATGAATGGAAGAGAAACTATACATAAGCAATCTAAAGAGAATGAGCAAGTCAAGTTATCTCAGCATAACTTAATCCAGATGGAGATAAACCTGTGAAGCAGTGTTCCAAATCATTCAGAAACTTTGCTTTATGGATTTAGTATTAATGGGGACTTATAGATTTATTATAAATGGGGATGGGAAATCCCTCTCACAGCTTCTAGGATTCTGTATTCTACCCCTAACTAGCTTAAATAAATCATTTTGATAGTTCTTGCTTCTTTGATCTTGATCAGCTCTGTAGAGATTGAGAAGAGCATGGCTAGGTTATCTTGGCAATGCCAGAGATCAGGCAGTGGAAGCAGTCTCCATTTCCCACTATAAAATGTCCAGTAGGATAGTCTGTGTGCTGGCAAATCATGGTCTTACTTTTTCGATCAATATGTCATTAATTCCTCATTTAATGAAGTTATTAGATAGTTAAATATTTATTTGAAATAAATATGAGTCCGCATCACACTACTTTTTGAGCCCAAGCATCTTAAACATATATTAAAGAAAAAAGATATTTCTGATTTTAAAAAAATATTTTGGCTAAGTCCTATGGATATTTTCATTCAGTTTTGATGATTTTCATTTTTTTCCCCAGTGGAGATTCAATCTGCAAGTAGCAGGGCCAGTGATATAATGGAGTAACATTTGGTAACCATGTCCATACCAGAATTATATCTTTTAGGTTTGAATACCACTTTGTGTTTTTAAAGATGAACTTTAAAAATTGCCAATCTGAGGCCCCTTATATCTTGATAGCAGTTAGCAATTTATGTTGGGCAAGTAGTCTAACAGACTTCATTTTTTTAAAAAAAGTAAAAAAAATGTGGTATAGGAAAAAATAATTTGAAATACACATTAAACAATTGCAAATCAGTGTAGTAACTAATAGTATTCTACATTCCATTCAATCTCTTTTATCCTTCTATCTGTTTAGATTTTTTTTATTACCAATACCAGGCAGAACGTGACTGACTATGCCTCAAACCAAACTTCAAAATGTGATTTGCTATCACACAGAAGCAAATCTATGCAAATTTCTATCCCTTAAAAAAAATATTGGTCATATTGTATAGTGCTCTACTTTTCCAGTCGTTTTCTGAAGCAACTGAAAAGAAGCCATGGAAAATTTTACCACATAGATATAAAATTGATCTAGGCATTTCCACCCTACTGGGTTAGGAAGGAGGTCAGAGAAAATGCATTTTCTCAGGGGAAGTGATGTCCACCTCATTAATTTCTTTTTCTTGTGCTTCTGTTGTAGGGCAACCCTCTGTACTTCCAGTCTGCTCAGAATGTTACAGTGAACATTCTCAATGAGAAGAGTAAAGTTCTTACACGTCTGGTAACAGGTAAGGCAAGGAAATATCTGAGGAAGAGAAAAGGGGAACCAGAAGGGCATGATGATGATGATGATGATGATGATGATGATGATGATGATGATGATGA